CCCCCCTTCTCCTCTCCCCCCCTTGTCCTCTCTCCCCGCCCCCCTCCTTCTCCATCACGTTTGTCTCCACTCCCAGGGACCCTGGGACCCTGGGGCTGCACTGGTCTGCCCGAACTCAGAGGCCCTTCGTCAGACCTGTGGCTCCCGAGAGCCTCTGGTCAGGAGGGGCTTTGTCTTCTCCCGGGGCCTCAGCGGCTCTCGTGAGGAGGTGAGACGGGACACGGGACGGAGAGGTTGGGAGAGCTAACACGTGACCTGCCAGCCCCATGCTGCGCCTGCAGCAGGGACTCAGCCGGACTCTGGGCTTGTGCCTGGCTTGGCCATGACTTCTGTGCGTCCTGGGGGAGGCCGCTGCTCCCTCCCGTGCCTCAGTTTCTTCACTTGCAAGATGGTGGCTGTGAGGCCAGTGTGACAGTGTCCCTGAGCTCGGAGCGCCCCGCCAGAGCTCTGTGCCCATCACACCCGGTACAGGTCCCGCTGGTGGGAAGTGAAACTTCCAGGAGAGCACACAAGGTTCGGAGACCCAAGGGCACCACAGCGGATGTTTTCAGGAGCCAGAGGCGCTTTGTAAACCCAGGCTGGGCTCTGGACTGAAAGAACTGTCTCTGAGGGACAGCCAGCTGTGGCACCGCCGAGGACTTGAGTACGGGCCGTGCCCCGGGCAGTGTGACCGCCAGGCCCACATCCAGGTACCAGGAGTGCAGTGTCACAGTGGAGTCCAGATGCCACTGCTACCCCGAAATGTGTGCTACAGAGGGAGATAGGGCGCAGGAACGGCAGAGGAGCAGACAGTGTACCTGGCCCAGTGGTCATCACACTGTTCTTTTTTTTTTTTTCCAGTACCTAGAATCGAACTCAGGACCTTGAGCTTGCCAGGCAGGCACAGGGCCACTGAGCTACATCCCCAACCCCATGCTGTTCTTTTTTTTTTTTTTTTTTTTTTTTTTTTTTTTTTTGGTACCAGGGATTGAACTTGGGTCCTTGTGCTTGCAAGGCAGGCCACCGAACCACTGAGCTAAATCCCCGCCCCCCCACTGTTCTTACAACAAGAAAATAAAGCAAAATTTTCAGCCAGCCAGAGTAGCACAAGCTTATAATCCTGGTATTCTGGGAGGCTGAGGCAGGAGGATTCCAAGTTTGAGCCAGCCTGAGCAACTTAGCTTAGTAAGACCCTAGCTCAAATATAAATACTTTTTTTAAATGCTGGGGATATAGTGCCATCTGAAGGCCCTGGGTTCAATCTCTGTACCACTAAAATAAATAAATAAAAATTTAAAGAGGCTAAACAAAAATGAGGACTCTCCAGTCAGGTTTCCCTCACTCTACCACTCCCTGGCACAGCTGCAAGCACATTATTCACCCTTTTCTCCAACTCTCCAGCTGTACAACATTGGTAACAACCAAATCTGGGGGAATCAGTGAGAGAGTGTGGTAAGACGAGGAGGAAGAAGAGAGGAAGAGGCCGAGGAGAGGGGAGAGAAGCAGTTCCCTTTGCTTCCTCCTGTCCAGCCAGGGGCAATCGGGACCTCAATGCACAGGACACTTTTGGTGGGGAGGAGAACCTGCCCTGGCCAGGAGGTTCAGGCGGGACCCTGAGTGGACAGTTTGGTTTCAACAAGCTCAGGACAAGTTGGACACCCAGCCTTAAAAAATGTTTTAAATAAAAACGAAGTCACTGGGCAAAGCATTTAACAGAGACTTCAGCCAAGGCCGCTGCTACCACCTCACCGATCTCTGACACCGAGCTTGCCTGGAGAGGCTGGAAGGAGGCCACCATCCGCAGAGCCACAGCGGCTCCTCTGCGCCCCAGCCGTGTCCCCCAGCACTGCCCAGGGTAGCCCCCCAGAGCTGGAGAGGCTGGACACCCAGGAAGACCTGAAGGGCACTGCTGGTTCCTTCTGGTTTGTAATCACTCTTCATCCATAATTCAGCAGCAATTTAGCTTTGGTTGGATCAAGTCTTGTCTCTTGCAGAAGTCAAGGGGCTGCTCAGGAAGGGCTTCTGACTGGGGTGGGGAGCCAGCCCAGAATCTGAGACTCAGCTGTTCTGGGATCTGGGGACCCACGGCGCCCCCACCTGGCCTGCGCTGGACACCTCAACACCCTGCACAGAGGGAGTCCCACCGGCCAGACAGACACAACAGACACCTCGGCCTGTGGTCACACACGCGTCCACCTGTGAGCAGTGTGGGAGACACAGGCGCTGGCCAGCCAGTGCTCAGACCCTCCCCGCTCTGAGACAGAAGTTCCCCTTCGGGTCAGGCTCGCTTTCCTGTTTTCAGAATCGTTTCTCACTGGGAAGCCATGCGAGCGGGCTACTCACACGGAGCCCCTCATTGCGACCTGAGCTTTCTCCCTGCTCTGCGGAGCTCTGTCAGTGCCAAGGGTGACACCTCCAACTCGAGGAGCAGGAGCGGGGCCTGGGCCAGCGCTTCAGGGATGCCGAGGCTCAAAGAAAGTGGGTGGCTGTGCACTTTTGGTCACAGGTAGCCAAAGCCACATCTGCTTATGACAGTTTTTTTTTTCTTCAGTACTGAGAATTGAATCCAGGGCCTTTACCCTGCACTATATCCGTATCCCTTCTTTTAGCTTTTTATCCTGAGACAGAATCTCACCAAGTCACCAGGTTGCCAGGACTGAGCAATCCCCTTGTCTCAGCCTCCCAGTATGCTAGGATTACAGTTGCGTACTATCTGGGTTTGTCATGGGGCATGGCCTTGGGCTCTCTACCAGGTACCTGACCCCTTCCTCTCTGGCTGTCGTTACCATCCTCTCTGCTTAAGAGCTGAGCAGCTTTTCTCCCCCACACCCATATGCCATGATGTTTGGAGGGGGGCAGCCAACCATGAACTGAACCCTCTGAGACCGTGAGTCAAAATAAACCTTTTCCTCTCAGCTGTGTGTGTCAGACCTGCGGTTCCAGCCCCAACACTGGGATGGAGACTCCTTAATTTCAAAAAGGGTAAGCCCTGCCCCTGCCTGGCAGTGATTCCACAGCTGTGGCCAGGAGTTGGAAGGAACAGGCTGGCAGAGGGGAGATGGCTTGCTTCATGGAGAGACAGAGCTCAGGGAGCAGCGGGGCCTGTTCTAGGACCCTCGTTTCCTCCTCGGGCCAAGCTCTGCTGCCATTTTCTGACGTGGGCCCGGAGGGTGGCACTGGTACCGACTCTGAGCTGATGTCACAGACCCTGGGTCAGACTCAGCAGCCACCATCCCCCGACTTCTCGTGCAAGGGAGATAGAAGATGGGGCCCTTGTTATTCCCGGCTGCTGGAAGAGGCTCTACCTGAGGCGAGTGATTTGTGTATATCTGCCACACATCTATCTTCAGATCTAAACATGTTTAGCTCTGGTGTTGCTGCCTCGTTTAAAAAATATCCAACTGGCGTCAGAAAGAAAACTGCCCCGCTTTGTGCTCACTCTGGGAGTGTGTGCCTGGGGTGATGTATGTTTGTAGCCTTGAGTCAGGGTGTCCAGGGGGAGAGGGTGGAGCTGTTGTCCTTTCTGAGTGTTCTTCTCCCACCCAGTGTGGGGCAAAGCCGCCCACGGTGCAGCATGGGCACAAAGGCCTCAGGCTGTGCAGACAGAATGCTGCCCAGGGAGCAGGAGGGGGACCTGTCACGACTGCCAGTCCCCGAGTGGCAGGAGGCAGAGCCACAGCTGGTCCAGAGTTCGTGAGCCCACATCACAAAGGACAAGCGGTGGGACCCACCACCCCCAACAGCCTCCACCAGGAGAGGGGGCCGAGGAGGAAGCGACATTGCCCTGACCTGGGTGGCTGATGCAGGGCCCAACCACCACCATTTCAGCCAAGGATGGGAGCAGGGGGTCTGGGGGAGTCGGGTGAGCGGTGTTCAGCCACTCCTGGGTCTAGGTGAACAGAAAGAAAAGGGAGCGAGGGAGCGAGGGAGCGAGGGAGGGCGGGCTCCAAATGAGGACCTGATCATGTTTTCCTCACAGCTCTCTTCCAACACGGTCGCCTTGCTCAGCTGCAGTACAGAGCCACCATGGCCAGCATAGGGAGATCACCACCTGCCCTGGGAGACCCGGCAGAAGGAAGCACATTGGAGACCAGGAAGCCTGAAGCTCTCGCTGACTGTGCTGCAGACGGCCATGAGCCTAGGAAGAGGAGCTGCCACCCAGACCTCTGCCAACACCTTGGAAGAGGCAGCCACACGGGATGGCACTGAGAGACGGCCACGGTCCCCTTCGCCAGGTTTGGAGTGTGGTCCACAGAGGTCCACCCTCGTGTCCTGCCACCCGGAGAAGCAGCCCTCTCTGCCCCTCGTGCAGGGCAGGCGAATACTTCAGGATCCAGGAGCCCTGCCGAGGTCCTGCAGAGGAGCAGATCCTACCAGGCTCCTGAGGTCACTGTGCGGCCACTGCACTGTGAGGACAGAAGACCTGGGTGGGTCCTGATGCTACTTCAGGCAAGAAACTCCACACCACAAAGCTCCGTGGCAGTGGGAGGTGGGGCTGTGGGGAGGTTCCTGGCCTATGAGCTGTCTGTGAGCCAGGTGCATGTCGCAGAGGGGCAGAGGCTCTCAACCCTGGCTCCCCAGGACACTCTCCTGGGGGTCAGAGTCCACAGCAGCCAAAGCCACTGAAAGACAGTGGCCCTGGACCGCCGCATCCCTCAGCTCCCAAGCTGTGAGAGAAGGCGGCCGGGTCCAGACACAGCACCGGAGCCCTCGTCCAGCAGGTCCACCCGTGGACAGTTTAGTTACATCCTGGGGGCACTGCACAAAGCAGGGAGAGCCACTGGACGAGGAAGCACCTGCAGGTAATCTTCACCCGTGCTCCGGAGGCTCTGGGTGCTCTGGTGGTCCTCTGTGCGGCTGCCCATTCAATAATGTCACTAAGCACGTGCTCTTCACAACTCACGTGGGCCTCCAGTTTGGGGTCATCTCTTCATTCCTCAGTTAACTCCTCCCAGACTCTGCTATACACAGAGGGGCAGATGCCAAGTTCCCCCGCTCCCATGTGCCCGTCATGTTTGCCACAGACCGTGGAACTATGAATCGTCGTGTTCTGTCCTGCCACACTGCAGTGAGCGAAGTCCGTGCATCCGATGAAAGCGGCCTAGCCTGTGGTCTTGCCTGCGGAACGACTCAGCGGCACGAGTACTCTGGCTCTGAGCAACTCACTACTGTCATCGTGATGAAACGCAGTGTAAATGAAGCACACACTCCTTTCTGGAGTTGGTCTTTGTGGCTCTGGGCTCCCTTCCCATAGGGGCAGCCATGAGAACCACACGCTTCCCCAGGGTGGGGTGGTGGATGGGCTGGGGCAGGGGAGGACCTTGTAAGGGGAGCAAAGGAATCAGGGAGTAGGACAGGTGAGGAGAGGGACAGCCACTCACCAGCGAGATCTCGCCGGACTTCTTTACAAGAAGCCCCAGAGGGCCGAGGCAGCGAGCAGCGGAGGGAGCGGACCGTGTCAGACCGAGACCGAGCTCCCGGGTGGCTCTGCAATGAGCATTCAGGTGCCTGCAGCAGAGAACCACTCAGGACTCGAGTTGGGGAAAACGAGTGTGGTGGCACTCAAAGTAGCTAGGTGCCCTGGAAACTGGTGCATGGAATAACCAGCCTGTGAAAGTGAGTCTGCCGCGACGCTATTAATGCCTGAGCCCTCCTGGGGTTCGTCTCTGGTGCCAGGCCTTTGGACCTCAAGCAACCTGAGTCCCTACGCTGTGCCAGGCACTGTACGGGGTGCTGGGGGTGCAGCACACGCCACAAGGACTCCCTCCACCTAAGTCTCATGGTCCAGCTGGGGAAGGGGCTGGGGACGAGACACACCGCCACGGCCACCCCGGGGGGCACTCGAGGCCCCGCCTCCTGGGTGCCGCCACCTGCCACAGTGCCATCAAGGGTGGCTCTCCTACACAGGGAGCTAGAGACGCCTGCTGTGCAGAGACACGATCACAAGAAAATCTTGTCACAAAGACGGTGTCAAACCCAGTGGGAGAAGGAGAGAGGGACAGAAATCGGTGCTCTGGGTCTGCTCCAAAACCAGCGGTGCAGCGATTAAAACAACGAGAAGGGGTGGTTTGAAATAACAGCCCTGGCAGCTGAACTAACGTGGAAATCAGGCCAGGCAGAGGGAGATGAAAAAGGAAACCGGCTGAGACACAGACGATAAAATAACACGTGTTTGGCCTAAAACATGAGCACAAAGGATATTTCTCAGCTGCAGATAGGATTGTGAATTTGGCACGATAAGGGGCAAAGATCGCCCCGGAATATGTAGATCAGAGCTGCCATCCGTGGAGCAGTCCTCGGCTTCCTCCTGGGACGGCGGCAAACTCCACAGCCATACCAGCCCTGTCCCCGACAGGACAGGGGCCTCCACCTCAGCCCACTGTGGGGGACCTGCCTGGGTCTCCCAGGCCTCCACCCTGAACCCCAGACACTGCCGCCCCCTGCTCACCCCACTGCATATTGGGGTGACAGACAGTGGGGAGCTGGCCCTCCACGGTCTCCTCAGTCAGACATGTGGGCCCCCTAGGGCCCGGCAGAATACATGTTCTGGGGTGCGGGCTCCAAGTCGGGCCTGAGAGTTTAAAATTGAGCTCTGCAGTCATGCCAGCAACATTTCAAGTCCCCAGGGGGCACCTCCTTGGGCACAACAGTACAGAACACCTTCATCATCCAAAAAGCTCTACCGGGCAATGTGACAGACCGGAGGCCCCTCCCGTGCACGGCTTGTAAAACTCGTGTTGGATCCCAACTCCCAGTGCGGTGACGGTAGAACCAGATCCGCCCTGCTCTCAGGTCCTTTCTCTGGGGCACGGAGCAATGAAGCCCATAAAACAGTGAGGAGCAAGTGAGGGACAACGGCCAAGTGTGTGTCCACTGGAGAGGTTACAAGAGAAGCCCTCCAGCAGTCAGAGAGGGGTGTTCGAGAGGCAGGCACCACAGACGTGTGGGTCTATTGGTTTTTTATACAGTTGTGGGGACCGAGGTAGGTGACTGCAGGGAGAGGCGCTCCTGCCTTTGATGCCTGGAAAGCCAACTGCTGTGTTGGCTTTTCACTTCCTCCAAGGTCTCACCTATTTGTTTAAGAACCTGATCTTTGTCTCTTGCATGTCATTAGGCCCCGATAGTCTATCCTGGTTTGCTGACTCACGCAGGCCCCAACTTTTAGCTTGCTTAAATTACCTATTCAGGACAAACCCCCGCCCTATCTGCCTCCTGGATTCACCTTCACTAATAGACTAGGCACCTCCCTGAAAGGGAGGCCAGAGAACTCCCTAGCTAGGGTGCAGGAGAAGCTGTCACCTGCAAGAGGACCCTGAGCAGATCTATGCCGCCAGCCTCAGACCTCCGGCCTCCACAGCCTTGAGAAATGCGTTTGTGTTGCTCGTAAGTCGCCCGGTCTCTGTGCTTTGTTACAGCAGCTGAATGTAAGCCACCTGCATCCTCTCCTTGAGAAGTCCTTTCTCTTCTTCCCCAGACGGAGGTGCCCAGGGCACTGCTGACCTGGCTCAGCTGTCCACTCTGCAGGCCCAGCTCAGCTGTCTACAACCAGCCGCTCCCACCCTGGGGATCAGAGGGGTCTGCAACACCACACATCACCTAACTCTTATCTCAGATAACCTAGGCTCACTGGGTGCCCCAGGAAGTTGTCACCCCAGGTTCTGTCCGACTCATGGATCTAGAAAAATGAGGAAATAGCTAGTTCTTGTCCCACGGGCCTCGCCAGTCTTCCCTGAAGCAAATAAAAAAGAAAACCCCTTACTTTCACATGACATTTGGCAGTAGTCAGCAGATGGCAGCGTGGGTCCTAGCTTTATACTCAGGTCTGTGGGGACAAAGAAGTCCCTTTCTTCCTTCTAAAAGGCACAAGAAGCCCAGCAGTCTTGCTTCAGACTCATAGCTCCTGTGGCCTTGAAATCAAGGAATCCACAGGGTGGAGGTAGGAAACGCAGTGCCCAAGTCCAGCAACAAGAAATGGAGCTCTCCCCGTCCTCCCGTGGCTTCCAGTGGTTTCCCGAAGATCCTGGCTTGTGCCTTCCGGCTTGCGCTTGCAGGAGCAGGAAATGTCTCCCGGGTCACGCGCCCCTCCCTGCAGCTGGGTGGGCTGGTCAGAGCCGCGTGCCCAGCCCTGAGGTCCACCCTGCCTGAGCTCCCTCCAGCTGTGGCTGAGGTCTCTGTCAAGAGAGTGTGGCCGCTCAGCCTGTCCTCCTCCCAGGGAAGCCCGTAATAAACGTCCTGCCAGCTGCTCTCCACCTCAGAATCTGCTCCTGGGAACCCACCCTGCTGGAGCCCCTCTTCGCCCTCCTGGCCCCGCCTTGCTTCCGTAGTGCAAAGAAAAGGGGAGACTGCTGAGGATCTACCACAGCACGGCCGAGAAGCCCGCAGCCCGTCTGGTTCCCGGAGCTCCTTCCTCCCTGGTCTCCCTCAGATCCATTCTGCCAGCCTTTGGGGCCAGCTCCTCAGATGAGTCCTCCGTTGCCCTGGACCTGCAGCAGGAAGCACTGTGCCCTGCTTCGGGTCATCTCTGTGGCCTTCTCTTCCGCAACGGTGGCCTCAGGGCTCCTGGGGAGGAGCAGATATGACTTGGGGCAGAAGCCTCATCTCCCCGAGAGGGAGACAGGACCCTGAGAACTCTCCCGCCACCCTGCACTGGCACCACCTCAGCCTCTGCCAGTTTCCATAAACACAGACAGGGCTCAGATGGGAAAGCGGAGACACTCACCTTGAACATGCCTTTCACCTGCGCCCCAGCCATGGTCCATCACCCCGCTCTCCCTGGGCCTGTACCAGGGGCCCGGGACACCACTGCCCTTTGGAGCCCGCTGCCTTTACCCCAACCAGCAATCCTGGGCTGCTGGGCCTGTCCTTCCCCCAGCAGAAGCTGCCATCCAGGCACCCTCCCACAGCCACCTCGCTCCCCTGCTCATGCCCCACCCCGGGGGCTTGGCCAGTCCCCCTGAGGCCGTAGATATGACAAACCGTCCTCTGAGGCACTGACCCTGACTTCCGTCCTGACCACACGCAAGCAGTAATCCAGTCTACACCCCAAAGCCAGCTCTCTGCAACTGCTGGGTGCTGCCCCAGACACTGAGGTGGGCAGGGCACTTAAAGGGACAGAGATGCGCTCAGGAAAATGCAAATCCAGCCAAACCACGAGGTCTCTCTAGAGCAATCAGGACAGTTACAAGCAAAAGTCAGAAAACAGCAAGAGTGCAGAGAAAGTGGAGCCTTCTACCTCCCTTTCGGGAAGGATTGTAAAATGGCAAGGTCACTGGGAAGGAATCAGGACGCTCCCGAAGATGTTAAACAGACTGCGGCCAAACCACCCCGAACACACACCGATGTCATCTGAAAGTGTTACACCGAGTTGCCATGGGACCCAGCAAGTCCCGTCCAAGGCATCTGAAAGAAAACATAAATCCTTAAGGACTTGGACGTAAGTATTTATAGAAATATTGTTTATCATAACCCCAGAATGAAAACGACTCAAATGTCCATCATCAGATAAACAAATGTGGTGTAGTCATTCCGTGGAATATTGTTCCGCAAGAACAGAGCAAAGCACTCAGGTGCTGTCTGGATGCGGCGTCACAGGGCTAAGGCACAGGACGGGCGAGAGAGGGAGATGTGCAGAGACCGGCAGCAGGCTAGCAAGCGCTCCGATCGTGAGAGCGGGGGGAGGGAAGTGACTGCTGCAGGTGAGGGGTTTCCCTGGAGGATGAAAAACACGTTCTAAAGTTAACTGTGTCGAAGGGAACACAAACGTATGGCTTAAAAATCACTAATTGTGCTTTAAATAAATAAATTGTTTGGCATGAATGTCACATTTCTTGCAATTGAGAGCGAGACGGAGGGAGAGCGCGAGGTGCTGCAGGGAGGGTCCCCTCGCCGGCCTGTGCTGAGCACTCCCTGGCTCCACTGCTTCCTGGCAGGAGGCTTTGCCTCACCAGGCCTGGCCAGCTCCGAGGTGCCCAGCCTGGGGAATTCTGGGGAGGTCGGGCGAGTCCTGCCCCGGGGACTCAGTCCCCAGGGAGAGAGAACAGGCGCAGATAGGTTCGGGCTCTGGGCGGGGAGGACAGGAGTTTCCACGGCTGCACTGCTCCAAGCCACTGCCGGGTCCCATGCACCCTTCCTCCTCTGTGATGCAGAACAGGCCCGGAGCCCCCGGGAGCCCTCTCCGAGCCCCAGGCCAGGTCACACTCCCTGCCACGCTGTCCCACGTGTCCAGGTTGGTGTCACTAGGGGCCCGTGGCTTCTGATTCCACCTGGATCCTTTGAACACACCTGGATTAAATTTGGATCTCCCTAACACGTCAGCGATCTGCACCAGGAAGTGAGACTCGTGGCAAGAGTGTAGGACTCAGCTGCTCTCCTCCACTCCTCAGTGACTCAGGCCTGTCCTACACAATAGGGCCATTTTTAGCCTGAAGGCGGGAAGATGCCTGTGGGCTGGAGCCCTGCTTTCCTCCAACAGGGAGTGAGGTGCCAGGTCCTCCGGCCCCCTGACCTGCAGGCCCGGGCTGGGACAGCCTGGGGACCAGGAGCAGCATCTGCCAGAAGGAGCACTTGGTCCCCATGTCTCCTGCTACCTGCTGCTGCCTGCTGGGCCCCTCATGGCAGATGGGCCCCTGGGGTCCTTACCACTGCGGTGCTTTTGGTGACAGAGTGACAGCCACCTGGGGAAGTGACGTGGAGACAGGGCAGAGTCCCTGGGGATGGACGGACAAGTACAGCCGTCCTGTCACAGGCAGCAGCTGTCACAGAGACACAGTGCACCCAGGAGACATGGGAGGGACGGGGACGGGTATGGGCACCGGGTGTGAGCGAGTCCTCTGCAGGGTCTGCACTCCTGACACCAGCGCAGACACCACCACAAGGAACCATGGACACCGAGGCCCAGGAGAGGGTGGGGTCAAGGCCTTGCTTTTGAGCTTCAAACTCCACTACCAACCCCATGTTGTACACAGCACAACGGTGAGAAGACAAGATTTTGAGTGTTTGCATCACAAAGAAAAGTGGCCAAGATGCTGGGCAGCCCTGCACCACTCCACACACAGTGTCAAAGTGCACGGAGACATCTCGCTGCACTCCGATTTCATTTATTATCCGTCAATCCAAACATTTCTTAAACATTTGAAGTCAGCTTTAGGCCAGGCACAGTGTTGCCACCTGTGATCCCAGCAGTCTGGGAGGCCGAGGCAGGAGGACTACAAGTTTGAGCCCAGCCTGGGCAACTTAGCAATGCCTGTCTCATAAAAAAGGGCTGGAGATGCAGCACAGTGTGAAGACCCTGGGATCAACCTCTAATACCCAAATAAATAAACAAATAAACAAGGTCAACTTTAGCCTCCAGGATTCAGGACTTGACATTTACAGGTATCCGGAAACTCCAGAGACCAGCCACCCAGCCCGCATGTGTTGTCTGCGGTGGTAGAAAGGGTCAGCGGGCCAGAGGGGTGGCCGCTGGGAGTCCCCTGAAAATGGCCTCTCCCCAGCCACCAGACAGAAAGAGCAGGGGCCTGGAGGAGCCGGCGGGGCCCCCAAGCACCGTGGGTTGCGGGAGAGGGTCCCTCACCAGAGCTGCCAGGTAAAGGGCACACCCGGGACGTGCTCATGTGAACTGCAGGTGCACCGGGGCAGCTGGAGCTCTGTGGGCTGAACCCGACAGCCCATGCACCCTGTTTCCAGGGCGGTGGAAGGGTCACAGGCCAGACGAGGTCAGCACACCCAGGGGACACCGCTCTGCCCCGAGACCACCTCAGCTCAGCTGCGGGAAGCCCCAGTGTTCAGGGGGGGCACTAGGCAGACAGCTCTGGGGCAGATGATGGTGCCCCCAAACCAGCTCACACCTGTACACAGGGAAACAGCTGCCGCCACACTGATGAGCCCTGCTCCCAGAGCCTGTTTCTGCTGTGCTGTGTTCTCCTCATCCCTGTGTGCAGCAGCCCTGGGAGGCACCTCTATCTGGATGAGGGCATAAGCAAAGGACCCCACTGGCAGAGGCCGAGCCCAGAGTGAGCCCAGCTATGTGGGGCCCAACCTGAACCCTGTCCACCATGCCCATGTCACTGGGGGTCAGGTGCGGCCAGCAGCGGCTGACACAGACGGGCTTTTGTCTCACTGTGTCTAAACCATTTCC